GAACTAGTGGAATTCACTGCTGCTGAGAGGAAGGGCAGTGGGTATGGCTCAAAGCTGAGCATGATATAGTAATTGGATTGAGCTGCGCGAAGCTGAGTCATAAGAGCAGTAGGTGATGATTTATAGAAAACGTTATGTGCTCAGCACAAGGGAAAGTACACAGAAATCTGATTTGGGGATTTCTTATGTTTTTCCCTAGAGAAAGAACTTAAAAAAATACACATGCTGTGTTTCCTACTGCATTAGACCGATTCAGACCTTCTTGGGAAAGACTGAGCTAAAGAAAGCATACACCTACTTCCAATAAAAATGCCATTGGTGAAGAAAACTTGAACAGCTCATATGATAAAATCTGTGTTAAGATAGAAAATGTCTCATTAGCAGTCAGAAATTTTCTAGACATTATCTTGAAAGGCTTAAAATTTCAGACTTAATCTCTAAATAATGAGGGAAAGCATGTACGTGATACTAGTGGAGACACTTAGACTGCAAAGAAACTGGAGGCTTTTCCATTGTATTTATTTTTTCCTGATCTGCTCACTGCCTGCTCTTCCATTAAACAATAACAGTTGTTACAAGTCTCATGACCCAGTAGGATCCAGATGGAATAACTTTCAGATTGTGTAAATGCACTACTCTGCTCCTAAGGCATGTGTATTTTGTATCAGATTGTTTTCTAGGATCTCTGTGGACCAGTGTTTATGAATGAGGCATACATTTCTTTTAAAGGTTTTATTAATGACTAGGAAAAGGACTCATTCTGTGATGAATATGCCATGAAAATTTTAAAGTGAACAGATTACGTTATTAATCTAATATTTTTGGTTATTTTATTAATCTAATGAGTAATACGTAGATTCTACGAATCTGTTTTTACTAAGCATAGAATTCTTGTACCTATTTTTGCTCTGTTCCATAAAATAGAGATGAATGGGAATCTCAGAAAAGCTGTAAGTGACAATTGCTCAAAATAGTTTTAAATACTGTCCTCATTTCAGCTGTGGTAGAGTTAATTTTCTTCATAGTAGCTGGTGCAGTGCTGTGTTTTGGCTTTAGTCTAGGAACAATGCTGATAACACATTGATGTTTTAGTTGTTGCTAAGTATTGCTTATCCTGATCAAGGACTTCCTCAGTCTCATGCTCTGCCAATGAGGAGGGGCACAAGAAGCCGGGAGGAAGCAGAGACAGGACACCTGACCCAAACTGGCCAAAGGGGTATTCCATACCACAGCACGTCATGCCCAGTCTATAAAATGGGGGGAGTCCCCCAGAAGGCACAGATCGCTGCTTAGGTTGGGCTGGGTATCGGTCGGCGGGTGGTGAGCAATTGTATTGTGCATCACTTGTGTTTATTGGGGTTTATTCCTCTTTCTTTTTCCTGTTGTTATGTTTTACTTCAATTATTAAACTCTTCGTATCTCAACCCATGGATTTTATCTTCTGATTCTCCTCCCTATCCCACTGGACAGGGGATGAGTGAGCAGCTGTGTGGTACTTAGTTGTCCGTTGAGGTTAAACCATGACAAATACTTGATACAATTAAAGAAAATGTCTGTTCTGTGGTTTCCAATACACTTGCCTATTGCACCGCTGTCAGAGTAGTAAATTCGTGCTACTGCTTTTTAAAAGTATAAAATCTAAAGCTGATTAGTATTAATTAAAGTACTTACATGTCTATCTTCTTTAAAACGCCATTTTATTAGTCTAAGGGACTATTCACATCTATAAAATATTTTTATTTTATAGGTCTTTTATCTTTTGGAGTAAAAGAGTCTGCATGGGTGAATAAAATTTTCACTGCTATTAACATCTTGGTCCTACTCTTCGTTATGATTTCTGGTTTTGTGAAAGGAGATGCTGACAACTGGAAAATAAGTGAAGAATATCTCATGAACCTTACTGCAGTGACAAAGTAATATTTTTAAAAATCAATTTACTTGCCCATATTCCAAACAATTTTCTGTTATACTTGCTTTAGAATCAAGAATCATAGAATAGTTAGGGTTGTAAAGGACCTTAAGATCATCCATTTCCAACCCCCCTGCCATGGGCAGGGACACCACACACTAAACCATGTTACCCAAGACTCCATCCAGTCTGGCTTTGAACACTGCTGGGGATGGAACATTCACAACTTCCTTGGGCAACAAGGAATAGTGATATTGCAGGTTATTTATCAACTAATTGGTCTGTTGCTGGGAATGATAAAACTTCTTATTCCTTTAAAAATATTTTTTCTCTTTTCTTGTTTGTAGTTTCCCTTAAAAAATTATCTTATTTCAATACTGTTTTCTATAGCTATTTGAGAGGTTACTGGCTTCTCGTCCTTAAAACATGTAATAACTGTAGTATGTGAGTATGACAAAACTTGCCTACACCATTAGTGTTTTAATATATTTTTCCACAAACTGCAAAGAGAGTAAGACAGTTACTTGATTCAGGTATTCTTCCATTTACTGTAATTTTTGTCTTACAAACCTTGAAATCAAAATATCTTGTTGTGACATTTTGTGAAGTAGAACTCCATTTTGACAAGAGCATTTTAATATGTATTTCCAGAATGATAGGGGAGGAGGATGGATGTGTTTGACCTACCAATAGTTAAAAAAGTAAGTTATCTTTCTGCTGTATTTCTGTTTTTTTATAGGAATTGTTCATCCTATGAGAATGTGACAAGTATATATGGGAGTGGTGGCTTTATGCCATATGGTTTCACAGGAACATTGGCTGGTGCTGCAACCTGTTTTTATGCTTTTGTAGGATTTGACTGCATTGCAACAACTGGTATAGTATTTATGTGTGTCTATTTGTATACTTATTTCTGTTCAAAATAAATTGTTACTTTCTAAGTCTGGGAAGTGTTTAGTATATGGTTTGTTTTCTGCCCAAATCCTGTTATTCACCTTCTCACTTTTACAATTCACTAAGATGAGGTATTTCTCCTAAATGCTGGTTTGTATATGGCTAACAGGAATGAGTACATTGAACTTACAAACTGTAGGTAAATAACTAGAAATCATAGGCTTTGAATACTCTAGATATACATTGTATTTCATGTCCTTTAATTTACTTTCAATGCTATTTCTGTCAACAAAATAGAGAGTTGTTCTACAGGTTTTTAAAACTTCTATTATAAATATGATTCCCATGGTTTAGATTAATGAATGATTTGTCTCTGATGTTATCTTTTAAAGCTGAAGATGGAAATGAGTAAGACTTTTTCGTGGGGCATTTTTTTTCCTTTTTTCAGGAGAAGAGGTCAAGAATCCTCAAAAAGCCATACCCTTTGGAATTGTGGTGTCCCTGCTTGTTTGCTTCATGGCCTATTTTGGAGTTTCAGCTGCACTGACACTCATGATGCCATACTACCTACTAGATGAGAATCCTCTGCCAGCAGCTTTTGAATATGTTGGATGGGGTCCTGCAAAATATGTTGTGGCAGTGGGATCGCTCTGTGCTTTGTCTACAAGGTAATGACATTGAAATATTGATTTTTATTGGGAAAAGCTGATGCCTAGTATGTGAGTATTTAAATACATGTTCATGCATTCATTTTGAAGGCTCAGTTCATTCAAAGTATTACTAATAAGTATTATAAGCATGTTTTAGACTTTTGCAGGTCTTGATCACAGTAGATGCATTAACTTAAGTTCCTTTTTCGAACTGTACTGGTTTTGAACTCTACCTCTTTGGCTTATTATCCAAAAGTTGTTTGGTTTTTTTTATTAAACCATGTATTTTCAGACATATGACCTGCAAGTTATCTTTATTAACTGATAAAATAAACCTCACCCATTTTGTTTTTTCTTGCTGTTCACTCCTGTTGACTCAGCAGCTTTATGGGCTCTGTGTATTTGCAGGCAAAATTGAAGAGATGATTAACTAGCTCCACTCCTCATCTTCATTGCCCATCTCTGTTTTCCTCCAGTAGCCAGTCTGTCTTCTGATATCAACCCTTCCTGTGGTTTCTGTGTGGGTATTTGAGATGTAGATTATAGCTGTGAAAACATTATAATATATTCCCCCTTGTGAAAGTATGGACGTAAAAACTTAACATGTTAGTTTGATTAAAAAGATTAGGGAGGGCAGGAGATATATCAGTATGTGTTCATCTATATTACACCCCATATAATGTAACATGGACTAAACTCTTTCACAGAATAGCAAATTGCTTGATACTTGAATTTAGGGATAGAAAAATGCTGCTGCCAATCCTCCACCTGAGCTTACATAGGTAAGGAGTCATTTACATGAGCTTCAAGTGGTTATGAATACTGTCTGCCTTTCCACAAAGGAAAATGACATGCTTGTTGAAGCACTAGTGCTAACAGCACTCCAAGATAACTCTGTAAGCATTAGCCTGAAGAAAATGAGCACACTGGCTGTGGACAGTAGTTTAAAGGAAAGGAATATTTTGATGTAGGAGGAAACAGGGTGGCGAGGTACAGGAACAGGTTGCACAAAGAAGTAGTAAATGCTCCATCCCTGACAGTGTTCAAGGCCAGGTTGGACAGAGCCTTGGGTGACATGATCTGGTGTGTGGTGTCCCTGCTCATGGCGGGGGTGTTGGAACTGGATGGTCTTAAGGTCCTTTCCAACCTGAACCATTCTATGATAGAAAAAGGGAATAGTTCCAGGGGGACATTAAAATAATTGTAGGGCTGAATGAAGAATGTCGTAGTTATGCAGTTCATTCTAGGATTACAGTTACTTTCTGTCTAGTTGTCATGGTCCCCTTCAGTTTGGAGGGGTTTACTGAATTTTTCCTCTATATTGATAAATAGTAAAAGTGACATATAAGCAGAAACTAGATTAAAGAAATTAATACTGAAAAACAAAATGAACTGCGATTGTAAAATGCTTTTTCAGAAATTTGAATTGTTGGTCTCTCCAGCATATTCTGAAGTATTATATTTACTCATATGGGGATGTTAATCTTTCAGTCTGTTTACTGATGTCAGTTTAGAACAAAACAAAGGAAATTATATTTCATGTTCATCAGTTTGGTGGTATAAGTAAGAAAAAAAGTTGGGGTTGTAGCTTTTGGTCCATATATTTACCTCTTATTTTGTTATGTTGTGAACTTGCTTCGTCAGGGTAAAGATGTTTGTTAATATTTCCATTATTTATGTGAATGTACTTAAAGAGGGGTAGGATAAATACATTTTACAAAGCCACAACAGCAAAAAAAATTGGCAGGGGATTTTAACAGTATCATTATTTGAAAAATCAATTGTCACCCTGGTTCAGGAAACATTCTTTGTTGGAAGGGCCATTTGTACATCACAATCAGTTCATGTGCAATGAAACTTCTCTTGTGTGTCTAACCTTAATGCTTGTGTATCACAAGCATTATTGGAGGTACTTCACACCTGTGGTATGTGAAAGCTGTGCCTTCTGTAAGTGATACGATTGATTCCTTAAAGTAAGACAGGCAACCATTCACCTGGTTAAAAACTAGTGTGCTTGCCGCAGAGGTTATACTGGCTATGATTTTGCCTTTTGTTCTTTCAGTGTTTCTGATTTTATTAATTACAATTATTTCACTTTTAGGCAAACAAACCACCTAATTTAATAAGTATGTTTAAAATGAGCTTCAAGTTATCAAGAGTTTGAAAGCTTTGTGTCTTGCTAATAACAAATCTAAATTAATTAGCTTTATTTCTTTAAAAAAAAAAAAAAAAGAAACAATCTTTAATGAAGCTTGCTAGAGGTGCTTTAATCAAGAGAAATAATGTGCCCATGGTGCTTACTTTGAATTACTGTTAATCAGCAGCCTCACATGGCAATGTAGAGTGTAAGAGGTGCTGCTAATGCTTATCGATTTGCTGCTGCTGACTGACAGACTTTTTCCAGGAATACTAAAGCTTAATTGCATAGTTAGTGTGACCTGGAACATGATTCAGGTCCACTAATACCCAAGAACTACAGTGATGGCAAGTTATTTTGCTAATCTGAATTCTCTCTGATGAAGCAATTCCACTGCTTAAATTAATTAAAAAAAAAAAAAAAGAGTGGGGAGGGGAGGCAATCAACTTTACATGGAAAAAGACATTTCTATTTGTGTCTGATCTGTAGTATCTTGGGATACAGGGCTTTCTGATTTTGTCTTACAATCATGATTTTTATTTCTGTACATGCCATTAATTAACATTGTTTAACTTGTCCATGATTCAACTCTGCATGTACTGTGTTTGCCATGTTGCATGTGTTTGCTTTTTACTCAGTCTTCTTGGATCCATTTTCCCACTGCCACGTGTAATCTATGCTATGGCGAAGGATGGGTTGCTTTTCAAATGTCTAGCTCAAATCAGTTCCAAAACGAAGACCCCACTAGTTGCTACTCTATCGTCTGGTGCAGTAGCAGGTGAGACTAAGAGTTGATCCTTGTAAAGAAAGGTGCACTGCTAAACAAATGCATATATGGAAATAAACCACTGTTCTGCAGCTTTGATTTGCTTTGGACTGAATTGGTCAAATATGATTGTTGCCAGGTGAAGCAGGCTACCAGGAAAACTTTTATCTACCACAGATTTTGTATTTGTTGGTTAATCTCAAGTGCTTTAAAAACCTAGGTTCAAAATAAACAGCAACCCAACCCCAAGAACATCAGTCAACTGAACAAAAAACCAAGAGCAGCAACACAGAGCCTAAACCAAAACTATACCTAAACCCATTAACTTTTCCAAGCTTTTTGTGTAGTTGGGTTTACCAGTAAAGCATTGTGCTTTTAATAACCTGTATTTGAACTATACATTTTTCTGTTCTAGTCTTCTCGGCTCTATGTTCCCTTTGCCCCGAATTCTGTTTGCCATGGCACGCGATGGTTTACTCTTTAGTTTTCTTGCCAAAGTGAGTAAGAGGCAGGCACCAGTTTATGCCACCTTGACAGCAGGGGTCATCTCTGGTAAGCTCTCAAAGCCCGTGTTACTTAAAACTGAGATTTAAACACTCTATGCACGTGCATGGTACTCGGTATTTTTGAAGAGGGCTGCTTGTTAACTTCCCCTGCATGTACAATGGGAATAAAATTACTGAGTAATCAAAGGGTGTAAGAACTCCAAATCATGCCAATCATGGTGGTGGTGATGTCCTTAATGTCACAGAATTCACAATGATTTTTTAATATTTTTAATAGTGGCCCCTTGTATGGTGAATAAACTGGTTACTTAATCTGGGTCCCTTAGGCTGGTGCTCTATTTATAGGATTTCCTTGTTCGATGTACACCTATATCTTTATCACAGCTATAAAGGGGGGAGGGTGAAATAACTCATGGGTTTTATTATAAGACATGAGAAAAAAATCCACATTTGCAGCTGGATGAACTTTTGTGTAAAATGCAAAGATTTTTTCATTTGCTGCTAAAGAAAATTATTTTGGTTTTGTTTAGGCTTACAAAATTGTGGATGAAGGGTATGTGTGCGTGTTGGGGGTTATATGTGTATCACGTACATGCACACTTATTTTAGCAAAACAGCATCTTGGGAGCTGTTGCCAATTCTTAATATTTTACAAGCAGAAATTCTTAACATAGAAGTGTTTCAGTTTTGTCCATGCTTCTTGCAAAGGTACATGTAACTGTGCCCAAATTTCATTGTCATTTCAGTGGGATGTCTAATTATGCAGGAAAAACTCTAGATGTATTTAACCGAAAGGCAAATAAAGAAGTCTTAAAAGTAGTTCAAATATGAAATACATGTTTTATAACATTTAGCAACTCTGGCTAAAATTGATATAAAATAAGAGGTTCAGAACTGAAACTAAAATCTTATAGTCAGGGTCATCCTCAGATACCACAAGACTGGAACTGCTCATGCCTTGTACTTGACAATAATGTGGGAAGGCACTGGTATTGTCTGGATAGTGCCCACATGAAGCACTATTATCAGTTCCCTTTGGTCAGAGTACAAATAAATTGCTTAGGATTACTTTTATTATTTTGACTTTGTTATTTGAATGTATAGTATTGATATATTCCCTTATAATAATTTGGAAGTGCAGTTAAGTGAGATGAAATTAACATCTTTATCTGAAATCACAGGAATGATGAGGAGAAAGAAAACCATATTGCCCAGCTGGTAAACTGATTGATGTAGTTACGCAGCCCTGGCAATAGCTATGCAGCAGCCATCATTTGCACTGCTTTTAGACAGTTTGGGGAATTTGGTGTGCCAGCAACGCGCCTGAAGATAGCTTTACCTACTGCTAGAAAAGCAGTAATTTCTCTTTCTATTTTTAAAGAGATGCATATTTGGTAACTTGTGGTCATAAATAGTTTTGACAGAATAGTTACGGATGTATGCAACAGCCTATATTATCTATCTTTGCATTCGTAGCATGGGTAGCTTCATAGCTTTAAGAAATATTAAGGAGATTAGATGTTTGGCCCCTTAATTAAAGTTATCAGGCAAAGACTAGAGCTGAGGCAATTGTCACATGTTATTACTGTGACTTACCTTTTCACAGGTGGCAATCATGATTGCAAAACTCTGCACATAGCAAAATGACTTCTTGTCAGTCCAAGGTTTCACCATAAATTCACCTACCGTTGTTTCTTGTCTACAAATATATTAACAAGTACATAAATATTACATAAAGTATTTCTGAATATAGAAAAATCTGTGTGCATATACATGCAGTGTGTAATGATTAGGTTTAATAGTTTCTTTTGATGTTGAGGTTACTGAGGAATCAAAAGATTAAGTATTTTTAGATTCTTTCTGCATGTCAGAGTTAATGAATGATAATAAGTTAATAATGAAAATATTTTAAGAGGTTCTTTGACCGCATGTATTTCAAATCAGTTAGCGTTAGCCCTTCATTTAGTGATGGCTTGTGACAGTTTCTCTATGTACTACGTGTGTCTGTGTGCAAACAGCATTGACAAAAAAGACATTCCATAATCTTCAAAAGACACTGGTATTAGCTTTCATAAACACCAAGACTGCTACAATCACATGTGGTATCATGGAACTTTCTGCCTCTGATTTCAGTGATCTTAATATTAATTCTTGTGAGAATTTGCTGGCCTTTCGTGAAGGCCACTTGAGCTTAATTTATTTTTATTTTTTTTTTTTAGTAAGGTAATGAATTAAAAAAACCCTACAAAACTATTTTATTTGAGACAACTCCTGAAAGTCCTCTTTACATAGAGCTCGCTCTCACCTCAGCAGAAATTTTACATACTGGTGACTTACTGGGTCAGATCATTTTTCCCTAGTTTTGCAGTGGAATCCATCCTCTCAGCTTCGGTGAGATTCTGTTGCAGGATCTGAACCTTATTCTATGGAAATGTATTTTTAATGTGGCCGCAATTCAAGAAGCCATGTGTGCAAACACATACGTCCATGTAAGTCCAATACAAATTGCTTGATTACGCAGCATGACTGTAGGGTTCACCAGTGCGTATACGAATGAGATTCCCAGCTGTAGGGAATTAGCTTTGGGAATGTTGGTGATGACTTCAAAAATGTGGTTTTAAGGAGTACCATGATTTCATCCATATTGCTGTCAGTAAAACAACGTAAAGTTACACTGCAGCCAGATTTTAAGATCTTAGCTCTTAATATATCTTAATGTTAAATCTTAGCACTTACGGTTGGACTCAATGATCTGAAAGGTCTTTTCCAACCTAAACCATTCTATGATTCTATGTCAGCCTCATACAGATTCAGCATTTTCCTTTCTCTTTTTTTTTAGCTATCATGGCATTTCTGTTTGACCTAAAGGCTTTAGTGGATATGATGTCTATTGGTACACTTCTTGCTTATTCACTTGTGGCATCCTGTGTCCTCATTCTTAGGTGAGTCAAAACCATCCTTTTGTATTCTACTGTGTTTTCTATCATGTTGATCAGTATATAAACAGAAGTGACATTTACAGAGAGTGTTTTTTGCTAGATAGCTCAATGTTTAAAAATTAGCTATATGTGTGTAACCAATCACTAAGAAGCAGCTTGAATTCAGTTCGAATTCATTGTTGCAATAATTTACACTTTAAGAGAAGACTGTGTTGTTCCATAGTGACTTATTTAACGTATGTATTTTAAAAAATACACTTAAGTTTTAACAAAGTAGATGTAAAATTTTAGTTTATGCCAGTTATTCGGCCTCTTACAGTACAGGAAGCAAATCAGAAATATTCCCCCTCCCCTTTCCCTGCCATGACCATCAGACTCTGTCACCTATTTTTCTACAAGACTGATCATATATCTGACTCCTTGGTGCATTTATGTAGCTTAAAAAAATGTCCCAAAAATCCCCAAACCCCCACAAAAAATTGAGTTGCCATTGTTTGTTTATATACAATAGTGACTAACAATATATGCTGCTGCAGTGCAGTTAGAATTGGAAAATTCTAAACCTCTACTGCAAATAATTTACTATTTAAATACACTCCTAGAGTTATATTGCTTCAAATCCCAAAGTAAGCTTAATTTTTGTTACTATGTTGTTTGTTTTATGCATAGGTACCAACCCAGTTTAAGCTATGAGCAACCAAAATATTCACCAGAAAAAGCAGCTTTGGCTGCATCTGAAAGAGAATCTGCAGTAAGTGAATCACAGATAAATATGATACAAGAGAATCACTTCAGCCTTCAGGCCCTGATTAATCCACCCAGTTTACCTACTGAGCAGACTGCAACTACAGTTAACTTTTTAGTGGGTCTTTTAGGTAAGTATTTGGCTGTCCAAACTCATGTAATACATTAACATAAATAATGGAATTTTACTAAAGTCAAAATTAAAAATCCAATGATAACATGCCTTCTTTCAGTCATAATTGATGTGTCATTCTGCAGAATGTTTTTATACTTCTTGATGGATCTAATCTATAGTGTGGTATATTTTGCTTTAATTAAACATTTTCACAATAACATTTCATACTGAAGACCTGCTATCATTCTTCTTAAAACTACCTTCCTCATCAATGCAGAGATTAAGTGACTTTTTTCCAATTATTTCCATCATTTTGTCTTCACACAGCTTGCTTGATTTGTGGTTTGAGTGTCCTCACTACATACATGAATCATTCCACTGCTAACTTGGAGCTCTGGAGTATTTGCCTTCTTGCCGTGTTCATGACATTCTTCATAGTTACCATTCTCCTCATCCAAAGGCAGCCTCAGAACCAGCACAAAGTGGCCTTTATGGTGAATAACATATTCTCTATGTCATTCTCTAATAAGAGGTTTGGATGTATTCTAACAAGTGGGAGAGGGACACTGCCACTATTTCAGGTTTTTTGGTGAAGGTAAGAGTAGTAGATGGTCACGGTTGAATCGTCAGCCTGTGCAGCCCAGTCCAGACCTTCTCAGGACTAGAGAAAGAGTTTTATTGCCCACAGATGGAATGTATGACATGCATAGGAATATGGCTGCAGAAAATGGCTGTACCACTGATGTTAGTGTGAACAGCTGCTATTACAACAAAGGAGCCTGACAGCACTGATCATCTAGATACTCCTTTAGGTATATCCTCAAAGGTGTGCATTATTGAGACCCAAGCAATTTTAGACTTCAATTTAAGCACTTAGAAACTGGAAAACTATTCAGAAACTGATTAGTGTACAACCACTTGTCTGTGTTGTGGGCAATTCCAGAGACCTCAGTACAGTGCATACCCTCCAGAGTATAATCATTTCATCTTGAGTTTTCACTTACATTCTAAGATTGGAAATAACAAAGTACAGTGGTGAAGGTCAAGGATTCCAGTGGAGCTGGGAGGCATTTCAGAAAGAAGGTATATATAAAAGATATATAATATTTTTCAATTGTAGAAACAAGAATTCATTAGTATATGTTCAGCCCAAACTGGAAAGTTTTTCTAGACAGCCTTAGAGAATATATATTAAACATAATGTATTTCAAGAGTTTAAGATATGTAGACACTGGTGGTTAAACCTAGTGAAAAAGAAAATTTTACTATATTCCAATAAAAAAATCCACCTCAATTCTTTTTTACTGATTAGATGTGTCACCTCTAGTTTGTGTTGTGTAACTGCAGTGTGACACACCGGAAATCATATTCAACACAAATGTACTAAATATTTCCTTTTAGGTTCCACTAGTGCCATTTTTGCCATCATTAAGTATCCTGGTAAATATTTACTTGATGGTACAACTAAGCGGAGACACTTGGATCAGATTTAGCCTCTGGATGGCACTTGGTAGGTACTTCTGTTCATTTCAGTCACTTTTTATATTAGAACTCATACATCCCGTCTTAGAACATTCGATTCTCTTCCTTTAAATATTTGAAAAGAATTCTGTTTAAATAAAAGTCAGCTGATATTCCTCGTCAAAAACAGAGCATGCTTCAGAAGCAGTATTTATATGCAGTTGAAACAGCAAATACAGTTTTGAGGTAATAGGAAGAATCAAAGTTACAGGACTAATTCGATAAGCCACTTTTTGGTTTTTTTCCCCCTAATATAGCTGAAATTGTGCAGAAACCTGTTACAAACAGGTATACCAGTCATTCTCCTTTAATATGTGGAAAATTGTGTTAACTCAATCTAGATATAAATTAGAGGCAGCAGTTTCCATGACCTACTAGAGCATTTAATTATGCAAAGATGATGCACTGGAATTTCCATAGAAACAGAAAAGACCTGAAGCATGAGCTCTGATTCCGATACCTGAAGAAACTTGTTTTGGAAAATATATTCAGCCAGAGAGTAATAACTAACTACTTCTTAATGCACTACTTGCCTGAAAATCCTATTAACTTTTTTTTTTTTTTCCCCTCCCCTTTTGGAAGGCTTCCTCATTTACTTTGCATATGGTATCAGACACAGTCTTGAAGGTCATCATAGCAATGGAGATGATGAATCTTGTTCAGAGAATAGTGGGTTGCAAGAAAAGAACCCTGTAGAAGAAGCGGATGAACTTGAAAATGCAAATGAAAGTGATCAATTTCTTGCACATGAAAGGACAAGTGAATGTTAATCTATGCCAGCATGCAAGTCTTTTAAACCTTTCATTGACATTTTACTTGTGGACCGAAATTTCAAAAGCTTTCTGCCAATGTTGTGCCTCTTGGAAGTGTTTACTACAAGGCCTGTCTGATATTTTGGACAAGCTGCTAGCTAATCCATCTTCATCATTTCAAAGCTGACAGTATGGAGGTTAATATTTAAACTAAAAAAAAAAAAGAAAAAAGAAATACCTTTTGGCAAGCAAAACTTTTGGATGTATATTTTGAACTGTCATCCAAAATCACTGGCAATCGTAAAATACAAAGAATTTTAGAAGTGCCTGCAAGAAGTTCTGAATATTTGACACTGCACTGTGAACTGAAGTGCCTTTCGTGCCTTCTCCTTATCTCTGTTACATGTTTTGGTCGCAATCTGATAGCTCTCTTCTTTCGACAGGAGTAATTCTCATGGGAGACAAATTCCAGACAAGCCTGGAAAGTATTTGCAAAATGAATGGTAATTGTACAGATCTGATAGTCTGCAAAAAGTAGAAGATCCTATGTATATGTAAAAAGAAATAATTGCTTACCTTTACTAATCAGTAGTCACAGAGAATTCAAATGGTAAAGGTACTTCAAAGGCTTAGAGTCACTCTAAATAGTATTCCAGATTTCTACTTATATTAATTCCTTTCTTTTCAGAGATGCTGTGTGTATAAAATAATACTCCCAAGAGGACCTATGTGGGTTGTTTGGGTTTTTTTCTGCAAAAGCATCTGGGAAATAATGTATTGGTCACAGTATTGACAGTGACATTCATATGTGACTTAGCAAGTATTGTGCTTTTGATTTCAAAAGGGCCAGGATTTTATCCCTGACTACATGATTTGGTACTGACATACAGCAGTTGTCAAGTTTTCTTCCTTACTTTATTCCTGTATATTCTCTTTTCCTTTATTATGTGCCAGAGCTGATGTTTCTGAGTTTGGTTGTTACACATTGCTTCTTCTCAAGCAAAATTAATGCACAAAATCCCAGCCTTCCTTTCAGATGGAAGGGAGGTTAAGGAAACACAAGACCAGGCTTTGGAAAAAATCCTTGTCAAAACAGTATTTCAGCGCTTCACGAAGCCTTAAGCATATGTTAGCACAGCAGTTTTTCGTGAGCCAGGCCTATATCCCCAGATCCATTCATGTGAGTAGAATATCCAAATGCTAATTTATGTAAAGAAACAAATTGTTGCAGGTGGGTGAAAAATTATTTTAAAGCTGGTGAAAATGAAACTGTTCTTTCAACATGAGTCATGGTACCTATCAAAGGCACACAGATATTTTAACACTTTTTCTCAGTCAGTAAGTAGTAGTCTCAAGTCCAGTGAAGGATTCCACAATATGATGTTGTTTTGCAAGAATGTATTTATAAAAATTACTTCCTGAAGTATGAACTGTCTTGGACTTTGTCATAGAGAGTTGCCATCTGTTGCCAGTACTCATCGCTGGTATTAATCTCTATTGTTAGCTATGAAAACTTTAGATGCCATGAGAGCTGTGTTGGCTGAGAATGAAAAGTACCTTTTAATAGCTGGATTTTTTTTTTTAAGTTAAAAAATCAAGGAAAAGAAAATAGTTAAGCTGCTTCTGTCTTTCTCCTGTTCTTTTTCACAGCAGTAGATTAACACTTTTTAACCTTAAAACAACTTCTGTTGTTGTAAAAGAGTAGTGTGCCTAAACGCTGAAGGGCAGAAGAAATGCTTCTTGATAGAAAACCCTGCAATGGGCTGGTATTCCACCGTGGAGCAGGTCTGAGGTTTTCAGACTGATGGCTCCCTTCTCAGCTTGTACGGGGAGTAAAGGGTCTCGCAGTACCAGCAGCAGCCAGTGGATAGATGTGTGCTGTTGCACCAGTGACCTCTACTGGCTACACAGCGTTAGGAGTAGAAATATGAAAATATAAGAGGCGTCTTAACTGAGTTTCCAGCGTATACATCCTCTAACTGCAGCTGCCGTTGTCCTAAGGCCCGTTGTTATTGGTGGCCCTCAAAAATGAATGGGGCACAGTGGATGAGAAGAAACTATAGAGTAATTGGCAACGGGATACTGCTTTTTAGTATAGCCTAATCCATCCAGAATTGATCAAAAGTCACAGCTACTTCTTTTCACGACTTATTATCACTTTACAAATGCCATTAAAGAAAGACTCAAATCTCATATTTGACTAATACAAACAGATGATATGCTAAGCAAATATTTGTTTGATAGGAAAGGACAGGAATTCTCAGGACAGTTCGCAGAGCTATTGATAATTTTCAATGCCTCTATTCAGTAACTGAAAGAGCTGTCTACATCAGTTGGATCTGCTGTTTTAGTTTTAATTGTACTTCTCAACTGGGGCCTATTTTTATGCCAAAAATGACAAAAGAACTGTATGTTTTTGTTTGAAATATTAGAAATGTAAGTCTTTCCAGGCTCTTGAAAGGAACCCAATGTAGTAATTCTTAGATATGTAAAAACAAAGGTTTTATTTATAAGTAACCAGAAAACTAATTAAATGAATGTATGTTCTGTGGTTTTTAATCTGACAAGTATGTGAAATAGAGAAGCTGATGCTTTTCCTCATCAGCTACAACTCTGTTGAGCATGGCCTCTTCAATTGTTACATTTTTGGAGGACATTCTTAACTTGTCTTGCCCAGTACTCTCAAATCGTCAGCTGCAAAAAATGCCATTGCTGTGGGAGCGAGCCAGCGGTGCTCAGGTAAAGCTTTTGCATGATGTCTTTACAAGCCTACAGTGAAACACAGCTCTTTTAAAATTCCTTACACATCTCAGCATGCGGGAAGCAGAGACTTGCTTTTTCCTATGGTTGCTGATGCCACAGAGTAAGCGAGCCAGGCTTCCAAGATGCAAACTACTGGTGTTCTGTGATGTGCAAGTAAGACCACATTCGCACCCAAGGCCAACATATAGAATATATGCTTGTGTGCCTGTCTACGTGTTTGTATCTGTCTGATATTATCCCATAGTTATTTTGATGTCCTGGTTAAACTAAGTTCTATACTGCACTGGAATTTTGCTTTGAAGGGATTCTGTCAATATAATAAACTTCTGACTATCAGCTAAGGCTTCTGGAGATAATTATAGCATATTAACCTAATGGATAAGTTAGCACTTTGTGTATTGACAGTTCCCCCTTTCATCTGTACGAATATTTTACCACCACCCCTCCCCAGTTAGAGAAATTAATCATATGAAAATAAAAGAATGGGCCGGTACAAATGTTGTTAAGGGAGTTGGGAGCAGCTGCAGCACAGGAACTACCCACTTAACTAATGAGATATAAAAGGAAATTCATTGGGTATTTTCAGATGCTTCAATTGTGCACAGCTGATTTATATCTGTTTATAGCTAAAGTCATTATTAGGCAGTGGCTGAGTAAGAACATGACAAGCCAGAAATCAGATAATTTATGCTAATTTTGGACTGTATTTGTATGTGCAGTCTTGAAATTCCAGATGCTTTAGTGGGACTTAGCAGGAGCAAAGGACATGGCATGATAGTCCTTACACAGGAGCTGTGTATGAAGCAAATCCTGATTTTGTTCTTGCGTTTACTGTATGTCTGTATTTTCAGAAAGAGCAGCTGAAAGCACAAGTCCAGTGGAATTAAATGATTGTTGTTATTTTTTAACATGGTTGTTGATACTGTAAATTGTTCTGTACAGATAATAATGGTGTGTACTAATTCAAAATATCTGTTATTGGAGGTAGCTTACTGGGGTTTTGTTCCTTTGTAGAAAAAAATCCTCCAAAGACATTACTTGCATTGGTACATTCTGGATGTGTCTTTAGATAGGGGAATTATTCTTCTCCAGTTGGATTTAAGTAAGCCAAAGCATATTTAAGGGAGAACAAATCTTTTTGTTCTGAGGGATAAAAGTAATAAAGCATTTCTGTAATAATTCCTGTTAATTAAGCGATCTTCTTCTGGTATTCCAGTCCTAATCCTGCAATAGAAAGTTTTATAAGGTATCTTAGATTTCATTGTCTGTTATCCTAGATAAAACTATTCTGTTAATAATAGTATGTTTTTTCCTGCACAACAAATGCCAGTTAGATTCCTGAAATCTGTGTATAATGTTTATGTCACAAGGTGTTAAAGCCATTTATATTACCTGCTGTCAGAGCATTATCAATAGTAAATATCAATAATAGTGATAGAGAGTAACTTATGTACTAATGAATTTAACTATGCCATCCAGAAACTTAAAATGTTACAATGAATTTAGAATCAAAAACATGGTAAAGCTTAAATATATATTCTGTATTTTATTAGATTATAAATGTACAAATCTAGCCATCTTGCCCCTAAAATTAATGCATATATTTTTTTTTTTAAGAAATAAAAGGCATACTGTTTTCATGGAGGTTTTAATAAGTGCCAATATCAAATGTGCCATAAGCATCCAGAGATACTGAAAGCAGAACAATCTGGGTGAAACCCGTGACAGTGCAAGAAATCTGCGTGGGACTGTGCAATTGTTTTAATCGGGTGTGATGCCTTTGGTATGGAGGCACATTTTGTACAGTAGGAATTTAATTCACATGTCAGCTGGCATGTGTTACTTGATTACAGAGAACAGAAACTAAAAGCACCTTTTAATGCTCTTGGGCCCTAATTCTTCCTAGACTTGCCAGGAAGTCTGTACCACTTGCAGTGTGCTCATTGAAAGCACTGAGATTACTCAGTGTTAGGCAAATATATACATAATAGAAAGAGCAGGTGGAATTTCATATAATGTAGGATCCTTGTATTTGTTTTTAATTTCCTGTGCCTTTAGTATTTCTTTTTGGTATATGTTTTGAGGACCTCTGCATTTTTAGTAGTTGGACCTTTCCAAAGCTAAATATAATGCCTTTACCATCTCCTGATCAGTTTTCCATTCGAGTTTTAGAAATTTTGGAAACATTAGCGAAGTTGAAGGATTTCTGTGCATAGACATGCATTACAAAGAACTATGTGTACATATATCTTTATTTTTATTTTCAGTTGGACAAGTTCTGTTGTCTTTGTATGTTTTCACTGAGCCTGGTGCCAAGTAAACTCCAGCTTCACCAAATTTAGTTGGAGTCAGGACAAATGATAAAAGGATTTGAATGTTTAGGAGGGATATTTTTCTTCTGTGTTACCAGAAAGTAAAGCATGAAACGTGTTACATATCTTTACGAGTAGTTATTTTTTAAGAAACGGTAGTGCTCGTATCCATTTTAACTCTTCTCTTTGTTCATATGTACATTGTAGTGATTATTTCTGTATTATATGCTGCTGAGCATATAAAATGTTGATAAAATGATTATGATGCAACTTAAGGTACAAATTCATATTTCATTGAAGTGCTCCACCAAAATGAAAAGTCTTGAATTTT